TTATGAGAGAGAAAAAAACAATTTCCATGTGAAGAGGAAATTGGAAAAAGACGTTGAAAGCGGATGGAACAAGCATTTTGGAAATCATCAGACTTCATCACGAAGGAAGCACTAACTTGGAACGGTGAAGGTGAACGAAAAAGAGAAGAACTAAATAACACACTACGTCGAGAACTGGAAGCTTGCATGTAAAGAATAAATAGCGATTCGAAACACTTAGAAAGTATTGTCCAGGACAGAGTTTGATAAAGAATGATAATGGGTGGCCTATAATGGAGATTGATATGGTGATTAGATTCATATTAAATGACACAATTTGACAGGGAAGTAATGCTTCGTTGTTGATTTTAATGAGACATAAGAATCCAACAACATCCATGAAATAACCATCAAATTAATTTGATCAGCAATGGAGAAGTAAACTTACTCTACATCGCCATATTCATCTATCTGGTACTCGCAAAATCCTGTAAGGATTCAAAATTATTGCCCTAATTTACATTCTGCTGATTAGACACTATCACCTGTTGTGGGATTTAGTCTTAATGGGTAATTTCGTTGAAACCTGTATACAGTTCATTCTACTGTTCATTCCTCTCTCTCAAATGAATAATTCTTCATGTTCTGACAAAAGTTTGGTTTCCTTGACTTTCATATAAAATGTTTTATAGTGAACACCATACACAACCGATAATATTTTCCATATGGAACCTGTTCAGTTGTTCTGAGTTAAACTGTGTTCCCTTGTTGAAAAAATAGTGTCTGCTAGTTTCAAATAACTATTTGTCTCTTGCCTTCCCACGAGTTAAAAAAACTATTTAACCACCAAACTTTTGATCGTTTTAGAAATGCTTCGATTACAATAAGTAGTTATTTTTGCTCGAATAGTTTCGAAATTCTGCGTGAAGTCAAGATAAAGGTTTAGTTGATTCTGGTCATGGTCACAACTCTGCTTTAATTACTAATTCTGATTACTGTAACTGTAAATTTTCCATCGGCTTGCAATTTGTCCTAAATATTTATTGACGTGTGACTAGTATACGTAAATGTGGGGTTATCAGATCATGTTTCTCAAAACAGAATGAGAAAGGTGTCCGCGATTTAATAGTGATTGTCTTATATTACTACAAACTACAACCTTATTTCCAAACTAAACGGACATTTAAATAAGTTCACCTTCTTTGGAACAGTTTCGAGTATTTTGATTGGTGGTAAGGTGTTCCACAGTGACAAAAGTAGTGCACTGGTTTACAGATTATCGGATCCTGTTTACTTGATCTTGCTACTTCGCTAAATACTCTATAGTTAGAATGATAACATTTCTGAAAATATGGTCGACATTGTTAAGTGGCGAAACAGCCGCAACAATTGTGTCATTATTATTAAATTTCTAGTTACTGATACGTGAATTTATTGATCTACTACTGAAATTCAGACTTGTAAAGGGAAATCGTATTCAAACAGAATCTAACTGCATATCCCATAATCATAACATCTGACCGATTCCCAGTAAGTCGGAATCTGGATGGTTGTAAAAGTAATATGCTCCATGAAACGTTCCGCACTTCAATGAGATATCAAAATCCATTTCACACACCGATTTTATTATATTGTGGGAAACACTTCTGCCACCATGTGACATTTTGGTGTTGAACAGGATCTAAGTGTCCTGAGTGTTTTCTGAGAAATGAAAATAATCACCCGACGAGTGCTAATCTGGAAGTCGGCATGTGTTTCGATTGCCAAATTCTCATGATTTCTATTTACCAAAGGGATTTTACAGTTTTCATTTTCATATGATTGATTTGGGTAGTGAAATAGATAGAGTTCATTGCTGAACACTTCAACTATTATATAGGTCAAAAGTCAACCTGCACATTGGCCAAAATTAATAATTATCATGAGTTTAATATTCATGATTAGTGATTTTTAAGAAGGGTTTTTTACAGGGTAGGAATGCTAACCCAATGCTCAGCCTTATTTCTCTATTTGGACTTAGGACTGTTAGTAATCGCAGTAGGTCTGTAGGTGAAGTTTAATTGGGTTAAACGAATTTTTAGGTGGTTTCTACATATTAATTTTTAATTATATTGTGAAATTTTAGACAGACACATTTTAATCGTGGAAGTCAACAATTGGACACTAAAAATCTGAAAGAATCTAGTGTTCAGTGGAAACGTATTTTGATACTTATATGTAGAGAGACCATTTTCAGATTCTATTACTATATTTGCTAGGAGTGTTGAAAGGCATCTTATTTGTGCAATTTGAAAATTGATTACCGGTCACAGTTGTTCTACTCATTAAGACATCAGTCAGTTCTTCTTAGGCTGTTTAATATGGTTGTGAATAAATTCCTGTACTTAGTTTAAGAGCTTTTGTTATTAACTATAATGCTTACATTTTAGTTTAACAGGGGTTATGCCAATCAACCTAAATAACTATTGATAAAATTAAGTAGACGATTTCACCAATAATATGAATTCAACAAATTGCACTATAACACTTACCAAACAGTTGTGCATATACAGGCATATTTATGTTTGCATGTGTGTACTTGTGTTAATAATCCTAGTGGTGTTCTAGAGTGTATATATATGGACGAGTAACGAAGATAATACATTTGAATATTTTGAAATGATGAAGACATTCAGGATTGGTGTTATTCAAATCATCAGAATTTTTGTTTATTTGACGGTTCTACAGTTTGTGTCATGCCAGTAAGCGTTGTAGATTTAATAAATTTTTTGAGTAATATGAGAAATAGTGGCCTTTTTTGTTTTGAATAATAAATTGTCAGTTATTTGTTATTTAAACGCTTGTATTTCTTTATTCCATTTATACGTTCAACTTGTGAGATATGATGTCGTTAGTGTTCAGAAAATAGATAATCATCAAATAATTCATTCTTATTCTGTAGATAAAATGATTACTAGTTAAATGAATATAGAGTAATGAGACTCTTCAGTACTATGTATCAATCATCCTAGGTGAGATCGAATCCAAGGCCTTCAGACGTTTCAACAAGTGTTTAATCTTCAATTCACTGAGTTAGCATCCATTAATTTATATCTTTGAACTTCCATAAATTCATGACACAAAGTGGCCATTATCTTTCATCAACTGTGATATTCGTCTCGAACTCGATGTTGTTAAACTTTGCTAGTTTTAGCCTTATTAATTAGAGTTCTGAGATTTGTAATTTGAAGTTAACCACAAGACAATATATGATGATTATCATCATGGGCTGTAATGCAGATTATTGAATTTGAAATTTGATATGTAACAGTATCCATATTAAACAATAGTAAATATTATGGTTATTTAATCTGAAAGTAAATTTGTTTCTACGTGAATAGATTAAATGTTAAATTTTGTACATTAACTGATTACTGAAAGGAGAAGCTATGCAACACCAAAATGATTAAACATAATGGTGTTAAGATATCAATGTATGCTGATCGCAATTTAACTAAGAAATCTTTGCATGCACTGTAAAATGCTTATTTGAAAAGGGAGAGAAGTGATATATTGTTCATTTGAGTAGAATGAAAAATGTCTTCTACCTAATAATGTTGAGTTTGTGGAGAAGATCGGTAGTTCAGTTGGATGATTTTGATGGAGTTATGTTCTCTGAGTTGGATGGTTTGGTCGTGGAGAATTCATCGTTATTCTGAATGACATCATCAGGCTTCCACTTGAACTTTGTGCTGACGATGTGGTTAAGAGGAACGATGAAAGCTCCATGACTAAACCATCTAGCTCAGAGAACAAAACTCCATCAAAAACAATACTAATGTCCTTTGATTTCGACATTGATTAAGTCAGTGAAAGAAAAACGTGAGTGTCATTGATAGGCGAAAGTAAAATGAATTGATCAAAACAATATTCGGAAATTAAATAATTCACAATGAGTTGATCAACCAAATGTTTAACTCAAATGAATTCTGTTTTCCTTTCTAAAAACAAAATTCAATGAATCATCTAATTAAGATTTGTGCTTCTCTTTAATGTCTATCACAATAATTTGATAATCACTAAATTTAGACACGTCTTTTGTCAATTTATTTTCCACTAGTGATTTCATTATGTGTTATTCGACTAATACTACAGTATCACTGGTAGAATATCGAATAGTCTATACATCTGTACTAATTTTGCATCTGATAATTCAGATGTTTACTTCGTTTATGCTTCACCTTGAATTATTCAATTGCATTAGTTAGTTGATTTGTATCTCGGTTATTATTATTTATTTATATAAACATATAAACAATGGTACAAGGATACACCAAATAGATATGCGCCACATAAATCATTCGATTTGTGTGAGTGCTGGGATAATGCTCGGGTTCCCAAACCGAAGCCGGTGGTTTTCTTAGGGTGCCACACCCGGAGCCTTTGACCTAAAGGTTTGATCCACAAGGCAATCAAGAAATTCAGGAGTTTCAGTCCCATGACAGGCAGTGACCAACGATTGGTCCATATGCCATTTATTCCTTCATGATCTTGGAGCCCATGTGCACCGTTGGTTCAGAATCAGGATTTTTCATTATGATGATCTCAATGAATACACAAAATTACTTACAGTGATTGTTTGATTTTAAGCTTACTTTGTGATTTGATTTTCTGTCAACGTGAGAATTTGAAACAGGATATTTATACATACACCGTCAAACGATGGCTATTCTGTCATCATCATTTGAAAATCTGCATTCATTTTGAATTATTCATGACGTGTTGGAACCAGTTCGATTGAGTTTTAATTTCAAGTAGACGTAAATTCATCTGGAATCGAATGACTGTACAGTATGCTTTGAATTTCTGAACACCTACCTTGGTGTCATTTCAGATTGAAGATGCTCACTGATAGGTGACGCTATATATGAGTCTCATTTGATTGATATGAACAACCTTTTATATGCCTTGAATCTCGTTTTAAATGAAGTGAATTACTGATTTTCATGTTTAATTATTGACGATTTATTACAACTTTCCGGATGATGAATAACAGTGATCCACATGAAGAAAATAAGGAATTGAGTGAATTCTATACGAAACTGTACAATGCGGATGAGAATGCAGTTCTACCTGGTATAGATTACAAACTCAATTTACAAGGTAATTCGAATTCCGTTTTTGTCAATTTCTATTGACATGGTGAATACTGTTCTAACAAGTCATGATAGTATTTTATCTGTGATATATATAGTATTGTTTGTTCTCTGAGTTTATCAACAATGTTTCCCGTTTCCATTACACTGAAATGACTACTAAAATTCAAAAGTAATTACATGAATGTGAATTCACAATCTCTCACAAATAAATTCATAGAGATTAGTAAGTGATTGTTCTGATGAGTATGTTATTGGATAAACCGTTAGTATTCGAAGTGATGGTTGTTGGATCCGTGTCTCATTGTGAACATCATTACTTGGATGTTGGTTCATCCGACTGACCAGAACGAGATATACTGCAATGTGTCTTGTGAATTTATGATAATTAGAAGTAATTGAATTATAGTATGAACTAAGAATCCCAGGGATAACGCAATTGAATCAAGAAGTACTACACAAGCACTAACGAATGTACTGTATTTAGAATTCGAAATCAAACATTCAAGAAGTACAAAGGAGTCATTAGTTCATTCAAACACCACATCCGCCACAGCTTAAATTAGAGTCTAAGTGTCTGTAATCAATTGTACGTCTTCTCCTCAAGTTCATGCTGTGTCTGTCCGACAATGTATTGGATAAAGACTCTGTATTATCTAGAATGCACTCATTAGTATTAGAATTAACAACTGAAATCGGAACAGACTCACCTGGTTGCTGCAATTGTATTTGATCAACATGTCGATTGTGTGTACTTAAGTCATTGATATCTAGAAGTCGCACCATAGATTTCCCGACATTCTTCAGAACGATCCCCGTGGATGGTCGAAGATCATTTCCACGATAATACGTAACTTCTGCAGACTCCAAACATCTCATATTCGACCGAAGAGTTCTTCCTTTTAATAGTTTTGATGGAGTCTCTTTCGTCACCGAATGTCTGGCATTTCTATATTGCAGTAGAAAGGTATCTACTCCCCTCTCCAGCTCATTAAATGTTGAGGCAGCAATTGAATCAATGGCAGTTTTTAACGTCCTGACAAAATTTTCTGCCTGACCATTGGAACAAGGATGTCTGGGAGCAGTAAACAGATGTTTGCACCCTATACCATTTAACCAGGTAGTGACTGCATCTGCAGCAAAATGAGAGCCGTTATCAGTTACTAACACCATTGGAACCCCTTCTCGACTAAACACCTTTCTTAATGCTTGAATTGTGAAGTCAGAATTTGGTGAAGTTGTGAAGAAAACTTCAGGCCACTTTGAAAAAGAATCAATAACTACAAGCGCATAGTATTTGCCAAGAAACGGACCACAATAGTCTGCATGAATTCTCTGCCAGGCCTCAGACGATACTGGCCATGGAGTCCACTTCGAATGCTGATTTTTCAGCTTATGACACTTTTCACAATTGTTTGCTGTACGACAAATATCTGCATTTATCTCTGGCCACCAACATGTGAGCCTCGCCAATGACTTCATTTTTTCAACACCTAAATGTCCACTATGAAGATCTTCTAGGACAGATTTACGCAATGAAGGAGGAATAACAACACGATCATTTAAACACAAAATACCATCAGGAGTAGTAGATAGCTCATCCCGCTTTGAAAAATAGATAGGAAATCTACGTTTCAAATTAGCATTCCAACCTTTCCGTATAGCATTAATTATACATCCAAAGTATTTACGAGTTTCTCTAATGAGATCTGGACGTTTCACTCGCAAAGGTTGCACTAACAAACAGTCTGAAGTATTTACAGGTTTATCTTGTAATGACTGTCGAGAAATGTAGTCAACATGTCGAATTTGTTTGGCACTCCTGTGCTCAACCGTATAGCCATAGGCACTCAAAACAATACTCCATCGTTGAACCATAGCAGCTGAGGAATGTGCTAAGGATTTTTCAGGATGATAAATAAACTTTAAAGCCTCATGATCAGTAACAATAGTGAATTTCTTTCCGAATAAATATTTATGGAGTCTTTTAACAGCCCAATACACAGCTAATGCTTCTCGCTGAGTCTGTGAATAACCTTGTTCAGTAACAGTAAGTTTGCGTGAAACACAAATAACTGGTCTACCCTCCTGTTCCAAAACTGCGCCAATACCCACAGGTGATGCATCAGTGATAAGTACAGACTGTACACTAGGGGAGTAAGTTCGAAGAACAGCATCACTTTGAAGAAACTTTAGTAGACTACGTAAGCATGACTCTTGTTCCTCACTCCATTTAAATGAATTGGATGTCAAAATATTAAATAAACAATTTGCACGACAAGAAAAATTAGGAATAAAACGGGAATAGTATTGAAGAGCACCCACTAGTGAACGTAGTTCCGTAAGATTTTTTGGAGACGGTGCATTTGTCAGTGGAGCTAGTCGTTTCATATCTGGTCTAAAACCATTACCATCAACTAGGTATCCAAGACATTCGAAATTAGATACACAAAATGAACACTTATTTGGATTCACTGTAATATTCTTCTCAATTAAACGACGCAATAAAGCAATAAGTCTCTGGTTATGAACTACCTTATCAGAACCATGGACAATGAGATCATCTTGATAAACTTCAACGCCCTCAAGATCACTAACTACATTATTCATGACTTCCTGAAATATAGCTGGAGAACAACTTAGACCAAATGGAAGGAAATTGTATTTGAACAGACCAAAAGGAGTATTAATTGTCGTCAAAAGAGATGAAGATTGATCTAAAGGGATTTGGAGATAAGCATCTTTTAGGTCAACTTTCGAGAACACTTTAGAACCATGAAGTCGATTTAGAATATCTTCAGCCTCTACCGTCGTGCACGTTTGCTTCAACAAACGGGAATTCAGTGTTAATCTATAATCACCACATATTCTAGGGGTTTTGCCATCTGACTTCAGTGGCGTAACAATAGGAGTACCCCATGCTGAGGATTGGATCGGTTCAATTATGCCTTTCGCACACAAATCGTTTAATGTTTTATGTACTGCCTCTCGAAGACCATAAGGAATTATTCGTCTTTTAAGAAATACTGGTTCACCCTGTACTTGAAGTTTTATAGGCTGAATTTTCATACCTCCACTGCACTTAGCACACGTGGCTATCAAATCTTTAAGTAAAGCATCATTGTTTTCTTTAGAAACTAGGAAAGACAGCTCCACTTTAAGCCTTTTCAAATTCCTTAAGCCCAGTATTGACAGTCCTGTTTCGCTAACTAAAAATTCACAAGGTATGTACGAAGAATTATCATCTCTTATTAGCAACTCACAACATCCTCGTATAGGCAGTCTGTGTCCAGTAATCCCCAATATTGATACCTCAGTGGGTCGTACCACAACGTTAGGATCTAAAGATTTCAAGTTCTTGAATGAAATAATGGACTCTATACTGCCTGTGTCAACAATAAAGTCATGACATGAACCAAGCGATGTATATAATCGCTTTTGAATATGAGCATTACCTTTCGAAACAGTAGACAAAGATAAATGATCATTAGGAACAGCTGAATCACTGGGATCTAAATTACAAGATTTAGTACTACTTGAGGCAAAATGAATAGTAGCTTTGCATACTGATTGAATGTGTCCTATCTTACCACATCTAAAACATTTAGCATTACGAAATGCACATGAATTACGAGAATGAATTTTTCCACATGATAAACATTTGCCAAACTTGGTCTCACCTTTGTGAATTCCTTTGTAATTCCTTGTTGAGATATCTTTCATATTTCCACGAGAATAGGAACCACTGTTAAACGAACGCAATTTCGATTGACCCTGAGATTGTATTTCATCATGACGACTAAGCAAAGTATTAGAAATATTCATCGACTGGATATCAAGTTCATTCACTGCCTCGTAGTTAATACACGCAGTTCTAGCATCTTGAAAGGAACAGTTCGGCATTCTTAACAGCTCTCTTCCCAAACCCGGCAAGTTAATTCCTGCAATTAATCGATCTCTCAGTTGCACATGAAGTTGATCACCAAAATTACATTTGGCAGCTTGTTTCTGCAATTCAAGAATGAATTCCTTAACCTTTTGGTCATTTCGACGAGTCATCTTATGAAATTTAGCCCTTTCACGGCATTCGAAACTAATGCACTTTACATGATTTAATAATAACTCCTTAATAGTTGCATAAGGAAGTGAGATAGGTTTTTCTGGATATGCCAAAGTTTTCAATAAGCTGTATGCTTCTTTTCCGATGAATGTCAGGAAATGTGCCAAAATTTTATCACCTTTAACATCCTTCTTGGTCATGCTCCAAATTTCAAACCTTTCCAAATAATCCTCAAAAGCTTCAGAAGTTGAATGAATATCTAACTGTTCCATCGCAGGCTCCATCGCGACGCCAATATGATAATTAGAAGTAATTGAATTATAGTATGAACTAAGAATCCCAGGGATAACGCAATTGAATCAAGAAGTACTACACAAGCACTAACGAATGTACTGTATTTAGAATTCGAAATCAAACATTCAAGAAGTACAAAGGAGTCATTAGTTCATTCAAACACCACAGAATTCCACTGTCAGTTACAAGACAAGTACTGTGAATAGAAATAGTCATTTCACTTGTTGGTGATTGGTTGCGAACACGACTGGTTGAAATGGTGCCGGATAGTGTAAAGTGTTAGTTTACTCATGTGCTAGTTATATGTTAAATGTCGACAAGATTAGATGAATATTGACCAATTTCGTCGATTATTTCCATCTTTTTCAAAACTCATGTAGTGAAGATGAACACAATAGTGTATTATGATTCTGTTCATCTCTGACTAAGAACAATGAAAGTTTATGGAATAAGAAAATGTTGTTGTTCATAACTACAGAAATGGAGTTTAATTTTGAATGATGTATCGTTGAAGTGATATAGTGTGTGTTTTACATGTAGTAGTGAGATTAATAGTACAAAATGTAGTTTTAGAATTTTTGAGTTAAGTTAATTTTCATTAACAGTATGGATGAAACTATAATTTATGGACGACATTTGAGCGACACTAGACTGACCTTGAGTGTGTCCACTTAATAATGTGCACCAAATGAGGGTTATGATCCTGTGTGAGGAATTCGAATTGTGATCTACGGTTTTCATCACGAACTCACATCAGCTATAATGCCAACACTCCATTTATCCAAATAGATCAGTGAATTCAGCGCCAACATCCCAGATTTGTTGTCTTATACGCGATTGGTTCGCCCATAAATTATTATAATCTCACCATATTATGAAATATTATTGTTAGGATTTACCATTGTAAAGGACCAGTTTATAAAGTTTTTGATTTAATATTTCTCTTAATAACAATTAAATGAATATCATTATTTGTTATACCTAATTCATGATTCCTTTTTTAATTTCATTTCATCAAAAGCAAATCTTAAGGATACTAAAAAGCTTGTAGATTCGTCTCCTAAACCATTGTTTGAATTTGTTAACGAAGATATATTCGAGAAAAGACCCACATTTGCAAGCAAGTTAAATGAATAATATTTGCATATTACGTCTATTCTCCAACAATTAAATTGTTAATATCAGAAGGGGTTTTTCTGTGGATATTATAGTCATTTTAATAGTTGACATCATGAGTCAATTGAAGCTGGACCACCATGGAAAACCTGGAAGCATCGGACGATCACTTTGTTATATTGTGGGTTTTCCATGGTAGTTTAGCTTCAATTAAGTCATGATCTCAACTGTTGAAATTAAATTGTTGTTATACAATACCATGATAGATGAGTAATATATAAAGTGATGGAATAAGGATCCAATTCAGAAAAACCGATTGAATTTTCCCTTCATTGAATTGTATCACGAAACCAACATGTAATGATAGAAATTTGTTTGTCTAGTCTGTAAACGCGTGCCATTTTAGTAAAAACGTAAGATCGAAAACATCAACATACGGTGAATTATAATAGGTGATACTTTATTAACATGAAGTGTTTGTATAGAATTCAGTAAATGAACCTGATTTACGCCTAAGCCTTGTAATAAAGCTTCAACAAGTTGAACAATCCTGATTTCAACCTGTTCACAACTCTACTAGGTTACATAAAAAATGTCAACACTTTTTATGGATTTACTCACTACAACATTCCTCTAGACAGCATTCTAGTAAAGTAAATTTATAGTAAATTTGCTATATTTCATAGCACACGTGATTTAGCACACTGTGTATTGAATGTTTTCGGATATTGAACTGCCAACGCTTAAACATTTCAACAAATGGGAATCTTTCATAGCCCAGATGGTAGTACATACAATTTCTTTGAGTTTGTGAGTTTTAAAACGCCTCAGCCAAAATCAGCCGTTAAATGGACATTGGGTTAGTTTAGAAACCAGTTACTCCCAACATCTGCACCCTGAGAGTTTTATAGTTTTCTATTGTTCCCCAAGCAATAGTTAGATATGTTTGCGTCATAAAATGATTACAGCTTGAATTCAAAACTATGTTTGTACTACAGAGTTCGTTGCATTATTGGATAACTACAATCCTCAAGTTGGTGTCACTGAAATCGTCACAGCGCAACAACAGAAAGAGGAAGATGAATTTATTAATGAATTATTAAAAACGGAAGTCATGAAAATGGCTTATAATTTCCTTGTCGAAAAACGAAAAGTGTCAGGAGATATTAAAAACTTTGGAAAATTCTTGAAGGATTTGTGGTTCAAGCGATATGGACGTAGAAGGTGAGTATAGTATGATTTGACTACGATTGATATATTGACCAATAGAATGTTGATAGATTGATGAAATGAAGTGGGATATTGTGATGAAGTGACATGTACTTGGGAATTTGAGATTAGCGACGTGGTTTGGATTATTGTAAATTAAAACAACATATGTAAGCAAACAATATTGTTTGCATCTAAATCGTCATCAGTGTTTGCTCTGATACAAATGAGAATTTATATGGATATATGGAAATATTGAACCAATCAAGTCTATTTATAAGTCAATAATCGAAATGCAATTGATCACGTCGCTAAGCATAATCGGATTAAGAGTATAAATTGACAGTAGTATATGTGTATTTGTGGTGATATGATTAGAATAATAAAACTATTAAACTCCTCATAAACTGTTCAGCATAGGAAGTAGGTCAAAATTAGTTCTGTACAATTTAAGATAATAATCACAAAAAGAATTATTAAATTTACGCTTAAAGAAGTTGTGTAAATAACCAGATAGTGAAGAATATAGACAGGAAGAGGTGAATAGCGATTTGAAAAATAAACAACGATAAAGTAATTTATTACTTCATATGCGACCAAGGAAGGGATATGGATGTCACAAATTTCTTCTGAACCTATGAACTAACGTTCTAATTCCAGATTCCTTCAGCTTCTGCTATTTTGTAGAAACGGAACCAAACTCCATGAAAAAACTACATAGGAATATGATAGATCATTTGAAATGATTTGGTTTTATTTATCATGTGACCACTGTCAACCAGGCGTGTTGAGATAGATCTGTGTACTGTCTATGTCTTCTGTAGATTATGTCAGAACCTCCGAATCCTATGTGAATAGATTTCCTGTGGTAACTACACTTCGTTAATTTTATTTAAAAATAATGAATTATATTTAGAACACGAGAAGAATAGGAGTTTGCAACTGCTTTAAATTTAGTGCTGTATGTTTTAGTTATCAATTTCGTTGTGTGTTCACAAGATGAAAAATAGCTTTGTTAAGACTGTTTTAACAGTTGTAAAACAATTAGTCTCATTGATAAATTTCGATAGTACAATGAGAAAATGAAGGTTATCAGAATTATGCAATATATTTGCGCAATACATTTCGAACAATCTGATCACATATATACTTGTTAGAACATTTTTATATGAAAACCAAAACGTCAGCTAGACAGGTTAAAGGAAAGCCGTAACAAAGAAAAATAAAGTACACAGAAACAATGTGATAACCACTCTGGATAATAAATTTGTAGTAACAGAGTAGGTTAAGTGGAACAACAAAATGTTTTGGATCACATAAAGTGGGTTTCAGTTTCCGCATAATCAAGGCTTCAACAAAACTTAAGCATCTGTTCAAAGCTTCCATTGACCCACGATCTCAACTATTTCACTATCTCATCAATTAAGATAGTTTTAACAGTTCAATCTGTGTAGATATCCAGTAAATCGACCCCCCTTCCAACTCTATTGTTTTATATTTCAGTATCCTTACTTTATTTTATAATTTAAAGTCCATGAGAATAAATGATTATCAGGAAGTGTAAACTCCTTTAAATGGTTTTTATATATTGATTTTGTACTTTCCATGGACGTTCCACGAAATGAATGATAATCAATACTTTCTAAAACATACGATAATAAAATAATAATAATAATAATAATGATATAATGACCAATATAAAGTCATGGAGATTCATCCGCTTTTGAACATGTATTCGTTGGTGAACATAAAAAATCCACAATGCTTGGCTTACATAATTGGATCCAATTTTATCTGAAAGAAAAGAAGAAGGAAATAAATTATTATGGATGGAAGAAAAGTGTAAGAATTTTATATCTTTCCATATTTATGCATATTAATCACAATAAGTGATAAATAACGAGATTTGTCACTTTCAGTGTATAACAGATCAGTAAGCATAAGCATTGACTAAAATGTTTTCATTCAATGTGTTTTGAACGGGACACGATGTTCCTAGTGTTGAATAAACACTCACCCTATTTAAGAAAAAGCACTATGTATGGCAATTTTATATTTAATTTCACTGTACTTAGATGCATTTCTGTCAATACTGAAGAGAAAACAACACGCAAATTTTTGAGTATTTTATAGAATACTGATAATGGTTTCTTATGAATTCCAGTTAACAGTAAGTTGAACTAATTATGATATAATTAGAACCAGTTTACAATATTGGTTTAGAATCGATAGGTGAGTAATAAATTTGTAAAATGAATAAATTGCCATAAACCCAGTGACGGTGAACTATTTCTTTTTCAATGTAATAACATTTAGATGAAGAGATCTGAGCGTACTTGTAGGTATAAAACTTAAGTTACTTTCCAATTGTATAAATTGTAACAATTACCTCCAAAATTTTTAATCCATATTACTTTAGATATTTCATGCAATCGGTCCCCTTTTTGAAAAAGTCGGAGGAATGATTGAGGCAGAATAATATGAATTCATTACATTTCGTGGATTCTCATCAGCTGCTCACAACCATTCATTGATTGGAAGTTAACATTAAGATATGGTATGATGTGAATATGGATGCGCACCGCTGAGGTGTCACACAATATTACTAAACGGACGTCCAGTGCTCCCAGGTTTCAATTGTGGTCTAACATCGATCATTCCGTGATCTCAATGAAAAAACCTAATAATATCCACAATCCTATACTGATAAACACAAATAGAATGAGGATACATAAATCAGGTTTGAGATTTTTATTGCTACTGCTTCAGCAAACCGAAGAGACGTGGCGTCTTTTCGTTCACTAATAATTTTAAAGGTTTGTAGGATGTCAATGGTGTACTCGGTGTCAAGTGGATGCCGAGCCATTACATATATATATATATATATGTATATATATATATATATATATATATATATTATTGATTACTTTTATCATTCTAATTCTTTACATCATCAATCTCAATCGTTTCACATTATATCATTACTCAATATTACCTTTCAATCCATGAATGGTTGTAAGCAGCTGATGAGAAACCATGAAATATATCGAATTAATATTATTCTACCTCAATTGTTCTTCTGACCTAACCAAATATCACTTTAATTCAATTTCATTTATTTTATTTTCTCTCATCCTAGACATGTGATAACCGACTACTCAGTCTAACTTATATCGATGAGAATAAATATGAAAAATCGATAGGAGGTATTTTTGTCGGATCCTCTCCAGAATTCGATATTGCTGTATACACTGTTGCTTTTGTATTAAATCCCAAATCACTAACTGATGTAAGTATCAACGGATGCAAAATACGTATAACTTGTCATGAATTATCTCCCTCTAAAATGAGTACATGTTATATGGGATGATTGAACAATGTGAAAGAAAAGAAAAATTCATCATTTTTATCATTAAACATTAAGTGAATAACAGAATATTGTACAAGCCTCCTATTTGCATAAAACATTGTAAAACGATTGTGTGATCTTTTCTTTCGAGTTTGTTTATCATAGAAATATTTCTGTATATTTAATAGGATATTTGATCTAACCACGATTATTCGAAATTAACTGTAGTTAGAAATAAACTAACAAGTTTTCCAGGCACAGAAGTATGCAAAGATTCTTGACAAAATGTGCAATATGAGGATTGGTCGGTTCTTTGTGAATTCACATTGTTCACATCAAAACAAAAACAGCTATTAAGCCCCGATAATTGTACTCTGTAATCAATGAGTTTTCAGATAAGCCATTCAGCTTCACTAACTTATATAGCTGGAAAGGACACCATTTTCTTCGATCACTGATTGTAGTTTATGGTGCATAGAGGTAAAAGCATTTATAACAGAGAAAGTATTATATGGGCTCATTTTTAGCAACCGAATAATTCAAAGTGTTTTACGTTTTTAGAACTAGTCATTTCAATGTATGTGAAGATATGTTATAAATCATCGACATCGCTCTTTGAATATGCACTTATAAGCATTCAAATTGTTTGGATGAAAAGGCTTTATTCATCTAACTAATTATATTATATAGACAATCAGACAGACTTTATTTATTAACCGTGACTTGGAATATGATGTGCAGTAGGAATCGAACAAGTATGCATCCTTTAAAGTGTGAGGAATAACAAGAAAGAATTCTTCTCTCAGGTTATTCTTTTCTTTTGTTTAAAGTTGATGCAATTATAAGATATGAGAAACGCAGGACAAAGTTGGAAATTAGTAATTTTTAAAACAGTTATTTATCATACTGTATGTATTTGAAGAACATTAACATTTGTAGGTTAGAAGTTGGATTTTAATTAGCATAAGAAAAAGGAATGTCTTTCGGTTCTCTAACAAATATGAATGCGAATTCCTAATATCAAAAGCCATGTATGTTCAAATTTATTTGGTTTCATCAGATCGCCCACATTGTAAAAGGTGGAAGCTTTTACATACCTGAACAGCAGTATGTTTAACAAACAAGTGGGATCTGATGCAGATTTAATGGTACGGATTATTAAGTCAAGGACAGGATTCTGACGATTGAAGAACATATGGAACTCAGAACAACTGTCAGCCAACATCAGTAAAAATGCTGAGTAAACTGTTAAAACAGTTCTATTATACAGAGCTGAAGGTTGGAGAACTACTACAACCATCAAAATAGTATAGGTATTTGTAAATAGTTGTCTATGCAAAATACCCCAGATCGGTTAAAAAGATATCATCAGCAACTGCCTGATATGTCAGGGAACTAAACAGCTTCCAGTCGAATAGCAAATTAGCAAAAGACTCTGGAGGTGGACAAAGCACATATTACACCGGGAGTCGAAAGCAGACGTCAAAAGAATGGACAGCATTTAGAAAAACTTGAAAATAGTTGATTGGAGAATCGTGGTCAGCACACTTTGCTTCATGAGGGATAACAGGATTAGGTTAGTAAGATCGTTCTCTTGTACTATTATAACATGACGAGGTTGATCCTGATCAGTGACTTTTCATCTGATCAGAAATATGCGAAAAATGTTGATTGTCTATTTAAAATACCTTATATGTTGAATGAACAAACCACAATCACAATCACTGGTTTCACGTAAATAGTTCTGTAAAATATTAGATTTCTGATGCTCTATTGATAGCTAACGGTGTCACACATACAAATATTGATTTTATTTATGTGGGTTTTAGAACTTCGTCCTGAGTGGTTGAAATTGGGTAAGAGTGGATCCATAATAAGATCACTAGTCGACTACCCTGTGAATAAAGTCTATGCGATGAAAATAAACTCAGAGTTCGATGTAATCAATAGGCACGATACAAACTCATAAAAACCACTGAGTCTCCCTTTCCTTTCCATTGCTGCAGCTTTTGCCGCACATCTAAAGATTACAAGTTTGTATTTATGAAAGAAAACTTATTCAACCACACATTTCACCGTGTTTTCTACTTATAGCTTTTCCAAGTCGTTACTCCTTATTCTCCATTGACTTTTTAAACCTAGTAGACTTACTTTTAATGCTCCATCTTTTTTGATTACATTCCGTTTCTGTTTCGACACTTCGTGTTATCAGTTCACACAACCATCATTTTGCAATTATTCACTATTGTCTATCTTATCTGTCACTCATGATAACACTCAAGCTCATAACAAAATTTACTCTCGAAATAGACATAGGATATTTTGTGGATCACCTCTGTTTTACTCTTTTTTTACGGTAAATTATTATTATTATTGACAAATATACTATTAGTTAATACTTTGAAAACAGCACGTACTTATGATTGTACACCTTTGAGAATTATTCTGACGAGAAGATTACTCTTCTTTCTACCAATCATCTTGTTTGATTTTACAAACGGGCATTTCGGTTTAATGTCAGATCTCTCTGAAGGTAATATGTTATTCAATTATATGATTAAAATCCGTATGTAATCGTTTAGCTTGCATTGTGTTCACACTATCCTTCAACAACTGATTCAGTTCAACTTTGTTTAACTCAGAATTAAAATTATTCAACAGAATAGTTGATTCTGTTAAAGGAAAACTACTGACATTAGAGTAGGCGGAAATTCACCATCTTTCAAAAGCTTCATAATTATAAGCTGTCTACATGGAAATACATGAATTGATCTTGCCAGATCAACGTGATGACACTTACCATTATCCCAGTAGTACTAGAATCATATTAACTAGTAAGTATAATCAGTTTTAACATACCATGCGCCTGATCACACGTGTGAAATACGAGCGAAACTGAAGTTCCTAAAACAACGATTTGTCTAAAAGACGGTTCTTCATCGATGAATAGAAAGAAATTAGTTACAAACCTCAACTTGTGAGGTATCAGTGGCGCTTAGAGCGTTTGTCAATCTGGGAGAAAAATGGCTTTCCGAGATGATAACGTAACGATTAATTATGATATACGATACCCTTTACCAACGAGCAAAATGTTAGCTAGAAATAAAACAAATATGGAAACCATTACACTTAAATAAAGATTCAATGACCACGAAATTGATAATAACTGATATAAGGGATTGAGAGAAGGTAATTATAATGATAAATGTAGTAAATGTAATCAATATATGTAAATATTTTATAGTATTACATGACACATAACAATAGCACACGTGTAGAAATTGTTATCAAAGCAACTAGGATGAAACAGTCGTCCAATGCTTCCAGGTTTTCCATGTTGGTCAAGCTCATGATCTCATCTATTAAATTACTACATTCTCCACAAAACCTCTCTCTGATTATGATCATCATATGTTCACTTGTGACTGTCTCCAAGAGATGTTTCGTGGAATTCTACTAAGAAGCTGTAAACATTTATGTCCAACCGGCTCAGTTGTGAGAAACTCCAGGTGTTCTAGTAAGAATCCGTGGTCAGTAGAGCAAAACCTTATCGCGTTTGAAGCAGTTACTCATCAGAGAGAATGGAAGATGGTAGCGGAATGGCTTATCTGAAAACTCATTGATTACAGAGTACAATTATCGGGGCTTAATAGCTGTTTTTGTTTTGATGTGAACAATGTGAATTCACAAAGAACCGACCAATCCTCATATTGCACATTTTGTCAAGAATCTTTGCATACTTCTGTGCCTGGAAAACTTGTTAGTTTATTTCTAACTACAGTTAATTTCGAATAATCGTGGTTAGATCAAATATCCTATTAAATATACAGAAATATTTCTATGATAAACAAACTCGAAAGAAAAGATCACACAATCGTTTTACAATGTTTTATGCAAATAGGAGGCTTGTACAATATTCTGTTATTCACTTAATGTTTAATGATAAAAATGATGAATTTTTCTTTTCTTTCACATTGTTCAATCATCCCATATAACATGTACTCATTTTAGAGGGAGATAATTCATGACAAGTTATACGTATTTTGCATCCGTTGATACTTACATCAGTTAGTGATTTGGGATTTAATACAAAAGCAACAGTGTATACAGCAATATCGAATTCTGGAGAGGATCCGACAAAAATACCTCCTATCGATTTTTCATATTTATTCTCATCGATATAAGTTAGACTGAGTAGTCGGTTATCACATGTCTAGGATGAGAGAAAATAAAATAAATGAAATTGAATTAAAGTGATATTTGGTTAGGTCAGAAGAACAATTGAGGTAGAATAATATTAATTCGATATATTTCATGGTTTCTCATCAGCTGCTTACAACCATTCATGGATTGAAAGGTAATATTGAGTAATGATATAATGTGAAACGATTGAGATTGATGATGTAAAGAATTAGAATGATAAAAGTAATCAATAATATATATATATATATATATATATATATATATATATATATATATATATATGTAATGGCTCGGCATCCACTTGACACCGAGTACACCATTGACATCCTACAAACCTTTAAAATTATTAGTGAACGAAAAGACGCCACGTCTCTTCGGTTTGCTGAAGCAGTAGCAATAAAAATCTCAAACCTGATTTATGTATCCTCATTCTATTTGTGTTTATCAGTATAGGATTGTGGATATTATTAGGTTTTTTCATTGAGATCACGGAATGATCGATGTTAGACCACAATTGAAACCTGGGAGCACTGGACGTCCGTTTAGTAATATTGTGTGACACCTCAGCGGTGCGCATCCATATTCACATCATACCATATCTTAATGTTAACTTCCAATCAATGAATGGTTGTGAGCAGCTGATGAGAATCCACGAAATGTAATGAATTCATATTATTCTGCCTCAATCATTCCTCCGACTTTTTCAAAAAGGGGACCGATTGCATGAAATATCTAAAGTAATATGGATTAAAAATTTTGGAGGTAATTGTTACAATTTATACAATTGGAAAGTAACTTAAGTTTTATACCTACAAGTA